TTTTTTTATTTTATTTCTTTTTTTCCCCCTCCACTACAAATGTGTAGGCAGCTTGTTGAGAAACCTCGGGATGCAGGGGAAATGCTTGTGCGTTGTGGAATGCGGCTTCCCCTGGGAGACCCCAGCCAGGCGGGCAGTGAATGAGCAAAGTGGAAGAATGAGAAAGGGAGGAGGTCGGAGGCAGGGACAGATAGGAAAGAGTGAGCGAGGAGGAAGGAAGGAGGTGGAAACAGAGGGGCCCATTTCCCTTTTTTTCTGAAGCAATGACAGCTGGTTCTGTCCTGCCTCACATGACAAAGTGCTGTGGAGTGTTTAAGCTGCGAGCCAGTGAGCAAGGGTGGTCAGCTGATTATATTTTAATTTTTTTCCAGGCTTTAGTCAGGTGATCCCTGATGAGTAGCCAGCCCACCAAGAAAGGACTTGAGCACACAGGTAAGAGAGAAGCTGTGTACTCTTACATGCAACTGGGGGGTCTGGGTAAAAAGGTGAACAGCTCTAAAATTGTTCGAATAGTTAAAAAATCCTCACTTGCTTGGATGTGTAACACTGATTGTCTCTTTCAATGCTGCTACTTCTACTATTCAGCCTTGTTCTTGATTTTTGTTTTAATCTGTCTTTAATTAGAAGCTTTATTTTTAAAAAAAAAAAAAAAAAAAAAAAGGAAAATCCAATTGTGTGGTGTTAAATATAGACCAGGGTATTGCATGAATATTTCATTTTGTTACTTTTTGAATAAAATAACTTTCCATAATGCAAGGGTGTCAAACTCATATTTAGAGGGGAATTCCCAAATACTTGAACTATGAGTCATAAAAAGTTAAAGGACCAGTACAATTCAGGATAAAAACTCCGTTCTGCCTTGGGTGGCTGCTTTTGTACACTTTAGTAATAAAATGTGTCTTTAAAAAAACCCCAAAGATTCACAAAGCTGAAGCTCTTTAAACTCTGCTGACCATAGCCTAAAAGATAGGTGGGAGAGATGAAACAGAGGACTGGGGAGGAGGATTGTGCTCTTGGTTTCATGCATCTTTTCTTTCATTGTGTCTAACAACCTGGTGAATGAGTCTTCTGATGTGCTGAGGATGCTTCAAAGAGCTCTGGCTCCTTAATTCCTGTTACATAATGTCTTAGCAAGAAAGCAGACTGAAAACCAGTAATAAGTGCACTTACTGTAAATGAAAGAGTACAGAATAAAAGTGCCTGGTGGGTGTGACAGATAAAAGTGGGGTTTAACTGGTTTTATGTGTGGCTGCTGTGCCACACTCTCTTCTCTTTAAACATAACTGTGCAAAATTTTCTTCCTTACTGTTGTTTTTCCTTACTAGAAGAGCTCAGATACTCTGAAGTTCTGAATTACTCCTGTTTAAAGATGTGTTCAGAGTGTTTTAAGATGAAAAAGGCAAGCAGGTGTTCCCAGCTCCCACCTGCAGCTCTGAAAAACTCCTCGTGGTCTAGGGTTGAAAACTTCATTTTGAAAATGTGTCATACAAATTTCCACGTTTTACTGGTGGCATTGCTTATGCTCTCTAATTTGCAGTATTTAAATAAAAACTGTTTGAGCCATACCTTTTTCTAAGAGGCTGGTGCTATACACAAGAATAATAAAGATGGGTGACTTTCCAATTTTTTGTTTAATTTCATAATGTTTCTCTTTTTCTCATTGTTAAAAAGTCTCTGCTTGTGGCAAGCTGGCTGTGGGATGTTGGTATTGTCTTGTAACAACAACTGGTTCTTAGATGCTCAGATATCCTGAGGTTTGATCTGGAGGAGACCCTGGAATGGGGTTGTGGGATAGTTGGAGGAGCGTTTCTGTTGGCTTCAGGAACCTTTATCGTGTGCATGCCTTAGGAAAAACCCAGGTTTGAGTGGAAATCTGAGAGGGTAATTGCAAAAGCATGGAAAGCATCAGAGAGGTTGAGGGTGACAGTGGATTTACAGCACGGGATAAGAGATGTGAAGTTGGGTTTTGCACTTATCATGGCACAGAGAGCGCTCTTCAGTTTCAAATAATCCTTGGCAATAGTTCTCTGCTGAAGGTTTTCGAGTCGTGCTTTTCCCTCTCTGTGGGATGGGAGGAGGAGAGGTTTCACAAGGTGAGGAAAGCTTGGTGGGGTGAAACAATGCCAGGCAATGATGGTTCTGGATAGCAGGATCTGCTCTGCAGTGGCTCCTCTGCTTGCCATGAGGGCCAACAATGAGGCACTTGGTGTTCAGTGTCCCCCTTTCCCATAAGAACTGGGAATTCCATGGGCTTGGGGGCCTGGAAAATAGCCCCAAAAGCACCCCAAGTTCCTGCAAGCCTTCCACATTGGCTTCATCTTAAGCAAAGTGATCTTTCATGAATGGATGAAAATCTTCTTTAGCTGCTTCTTGCAGTTGTCCTTAGGGGAATTCCTGGCAGGTTGGGGCTGCAGCTGCAGAAATGCTGCCAGGGCACACCAGGGGTTCATGTCCTCACTCAGGGCTGCTGCTGTGGAGTGAAAGAGGGTCAGACACGTGGAACTGGAATGGGTAAAACTTTAAAAATTTTAGAGAGTATAAGAGTAGTCATTTCTTCTCTTTTTTTTTTTTTTTTTTCCTTTTTTTTTTTTTTTTTTTTTTTTTTTTTTTTTTTTTTTTTTTTTTTTTTTTTGTTTTTTGTTTTTT